GTGTTTATCAGCTCTAGGAGTTCTCTGGTGAATTTTTTGGGTTAACTTACGTTTACTAAAATATTGGCATATAGCAGTATTTTGACTTCATCCTTTCTGATTTCTATTCTCTTGACCTTCTTTAGTCATCTTATTATTGCTCTAGCTAGAAGTTCAAGTACTATATTGAAGAGGTATAGAGACAGTAGCAACCTTGTCTTGCCCCTGATATTAGTGAAATTGTTTTGAGTTTCTCGCCATTTAATTTGATGTTGAGTAATGGTTTGTGTATATAGCCTTAATTATGCTTGGGTATATGCTTTGTATCCATGATCTCTCCAAGACTTTCATTGTGAACAAGTGCTGGATTTTGTCAAAGGCTTTTTCTGCATCTAATGAGATGATCACATGTTTTTTATTCTTTCAGTTTGTTTATGTGGTGGATTAAATTGATGGATTATCATATGTTGAACTATTCTTGCATCTGTGGGATAAAGCCTACTTGATCATGGTGGATGATATTTTTAATGGGCTCTTGAATTCATTTTGCAAGTAGTTTATTGAGTATTTTTACATCAATGATAATGGGTGAAATTGGTCTGAAATTCTCTTTCTTTGTTGCATCTTTGTGTGGTTTATGTATTAGTGTGACTGTGCCTTCATAGAATGACTTTGGCAATGTTCCTGTCGCAGAGGCAACAATATCATGACACTTAACTGGAATGAAGTGGTTTCTCTTTGAATCTGAAAACTTCTCTACAGGTTTATATTTTATGCCTGATTATATAAACTGGGTCAAAATCAAACTGTGGAGATCACAGGCCATAGGGTGAACATACCAGTTTTTTTAAAGTGGTCATGTTCTCAGATTAGTTTCCAGTATCCATTTAAATTTGTACTGATCTTAATTTTGAATGGAGAAGCTTATTTTTATATTGGGTAATGCTTAATGTAAAGACTCATAACTGATAAAAAAACATTCTGAGAATTAGTGACTGTGAGTGCTCATCTGTAGATGAGTCATCTATCATACACACACACATACACACATAAACACACATACACACATCAAGACTTGTGAAACATCATGGAAGAAGTGGCAGAGAAAATGTAAGAATCAGAGAATAGGGGAAAGATCTGTGAAAGGCAAGTCATAAATGGTATCCATGTCAAATTATAGCATCTGTGATTATCTGTACTATACCTACGTAATATGAAGCCAGGGAAAATTCTGGCATGAATGTGGAAGGAGATCCTTGGGCTCCACATCTGTACAGACAGTTATTGCTATTGATTGATGAATTGGCAATGTGGTTATGTCAGGTAGCTGATACCCCAGTGGTGCAAGATTTAGAACCCGAGAGTATAATTCATATGGTGCTGGCTTTAGAAAAATGACATATGCAAGAGTAAATATTTTGTAGAGATTTGTACAAAAGTTTTAGAAAGCCATTGAAGCCAGGCCATATATGTCAGGGACAGACTACAACAAATGCTTTAGGAGTCATTGAATGAAATAGCGAATATTATTAACGTCAATGAATGATGTACCAAGCAAATTTTATCAACATGCCATTTTTGTAGTTATGTCCAATCTCTAACAATGTAGCAAATTTATTCTGCATAACCATATTTTAGAGTATCCATGTCATATTTCTAACCCTAAATTAAATGACTTATATGGATGGAGTCATACATTCTTTTTAAGAAGTAGGAGGGAATAGCATGGTGTCTTGGTTACTTCTGTTGCTGAGCCAAAATTGCTAGCAAAATGAAGGAAGAGCATTAGAATGCAATCTACCATGAGAGGGAAAACATACAGGCATCATAAAGTATCAGGTTGCATCTGAAGTCATAAAGCATAAAGTCTGGCACTTAGTCTATTATCTCATTCTTCCCTTCAGATTACTAGCATGTGAGATAGTGCTGCCTGTATCTTTTGTTTTGTTTTGTTTTGTTTTGTTTGTTGCCTTTTTTGTTTTTTATTATTTTTATACCTTTCCCAGAGAAAAAAGATGGTGTCCTTTGCCAGGATCAATATAGTTGCAGTTGCCGAAATACAATGATTGCAAACTTTACAGGGTTTACATGATTAGTGTTTTAGACCAATTGTCCTTCTAAGCTTCCATCTTTCCTTGACTTTCAGTGGAACACACAGAGAAACGCAAAGTGGCCTGAATGCTTCAATGACTGAGGGGTGACTTGGCTTCTCAGGAACTGAAAGCAAAAGTTCCCCAGGAGCCAAGGACTCTAAACTGAAAAAACCTAAGATGCATGCCTCTCTAGGTAGTTAGGCCAGGCCAACTCCATGGTTCCTTGAAAATCCCCTTCCTTAATTTTTAATTTTAGAGTATGCAAAACAATCTTCAAAGCAGATTTGCTACATGGAGTAGCAAATCAATCTCAAGGCTACAATACTTTTCAGTATAAGCAAGAAAAAAATTTCCCAGAGACATTTCTATAAACTACAGTTTAGAAGTCCAATTAGAGACAGAAAAATAATGACCAATGATCTTCGTATTGTGCAGCAATAGAAGAGAGTAAGTTACCTAACTTGAATATTGAATACTTAATATTTTACCATGCAAGTCTCAAACATGAACACTTAAATTGCTGTGTCACCATCTTTGCCTGGGTAAAAACGTGATTATCATTGGGGCACCCAAGGTCTCAGAGTCATTGACATAAACAGGAATATTTTTTTCCCAGTTAACAGACTGAAGCACAGGTTAAAGAGGCACATATGTCCGAGGAGTAACAGATGCATTCAACATAGAATAGCAAGGAACAGAAAATTTGCAGTTATCCTCTTCCCTTGAGTTTTCTCTAACCCTTTTTCCTCAGCCACTTATTTTTTTTTCATGAGTTATAGTTGGCGTGGAGGCACTGGAGTTTTATTGTTGTGCTTTGATGTCTCTGTTGTCCTGGTCTCTTCCTGTTTTTCAGTTGTAACCCCTGCAGATGATTTACAAGCTCTTCATCCATCCTCTGCAGTTTGAGTTGGTGTTTCATATAACCACACTGACTTTTTAGCACCCTCAAGTAAACACACACACACAGACACAGCATCTCTTTCCATTGAATTATGGGACATGGGCCATACATTTGGTCAGACATAGCTTTTCTCCAAGGGGCCATGACCCTGGATATTGTAGGGGTCCACACATTTTCCATAGCAGTAAGGCTAGCCTTACTCAAATTTTCAAAATTTTAAGTATATAAAGTAGAATATCATGAGGAGTAGCCATACTAAGTTACTCCTTCTCCTTTATTTTTAAATAATGTTGAAGTTGTCAATAATCTTTTTCTCAAAAGGCTGACCCTGAGGGTTTTACAGAATGCCTGTGATGTGAGCTCTATCAAAGTGTTTGCAAAATTCCTGAGAAGGCTTCGCAATGTTTGCAGGAGCATTGTTAGTTTTTATATTTACATGGGCACAGAAGAGTAAAAGCCAGTGATAAGTTATCTAAACTATTCAACCGAAACTTTTATTTTCTATCATGAGCAATACGAACTTAAAGGACTAATCCAATTTTTATTACTACCACTGAAATAACTACATGTTCCTGATGAACTGGATTTCTATTTCCTTGAGTACCTATTTTAGGAATTGTGTGCCTTGAATGAGACAGATGATCGACAATTTTACATTAGAGGAAGAAAGAGCAGAAAACACAAGCTGGGGAATGAGAAGTAGGAATGGAGCGGTGGTGCACTGCTTTGATCTCATCACTAGGGAAGGAAACTGAGGCAAGATCCTTGCCAAGTTTGAGGGAATGAGAGGCTTTCATTGTGAGAATCTGGATATATTTTAAATGTATTTTTAAACTACATTTGTTTAGTAGTTTTTATGCAGAGGGGCATTCCCATGTCATGGGCCCCATATGATTCCCACATAACAACTTGTGGGAGTTGGCTCTCTCCACTATTTGGGTCCTGCGCATCAAACAAAGTCAAAATTCACAACCATCAGGAATGTGGATAATAGGTGCAGTCTGAGGACACCAAGTCCATCATCCTTTAATTACCTTTTCAGACATTTTCAGTTTCCTGACTTTACTGGGCTTTCACATGCCCTCAATGCCCTTAATTCTCCTAGTCAATCACCTCTGCAAATTCAGGCGAAGTTCAATGTCAGTGCATCCTTTTTCCCAGTCAATAGTATACTAAGATCTATCTTAATCATTTTACCTACTATCTAGCCATTCAGTTGACACTCTTTGGCTCCCAATCATTTCTACAGGGTTGTACTTTTCCAATCACAAATCTAATCCTCACATCTTCCAAATTTAAGCATTAAATAGCTTCTCATGGCTCTAAGATAACAAGATAGTGGCTGCCCCATCTTGACACCATCCTCTCACTTCAGGTTTTACTTGTGGCCACTTTTGGTTATGAGTACCAGGGTTTTGAGCTCATCATGTAAATTCTTTACTTTACAGCACAGTAGTTATTTTGTTTATGTTTTTCTTTTGTTTCTTTAGAATTAACAAGTCTATTTATATCACAGCACTAATAGTCACTTTCCTTCCCTTACAAAATTATCATTTCAAAATGGTGAGTCAAAGAGCACCTTCTACCCATAGTGCCACTATCACCAACCACACTTCAGTAGTCTCGAAATTACAGCCAAACACAAGCCACCCAAGGTGATTTTTTAATTTAATTTAAGGTATGGACTACCAAGATGAGAAGCATGGGCTGGCCAAAGCTGGTTTGGGTAGTTCTTGACATCTCTGGTCAGTTTTCAGAGGCCACACTGAGATCCAGGGACTAAAATCATATCTGCACTTGTCATGGTCAGACATGTGGCCAAGAGGTAGGCCTTATTCCTTCTGGCTTCTGGATCTGGAACATGAACAAAGATGAATTATCCTTTTATTTTGCTGGCCCCTCTGAATACCTCCTAGAGAATTCAGTTTCCATACTACTCAATGTCAAAGTTTTGTCTTGTTAAATTGCTGGCCATGCAACTCTTGGTGAGCATGTCAAACCCCAGTGCAACCTCACCATGGCTCTGCAAATGTCAGGTTCTAAACCACTCTAGTGCTCACTCATTTCTGAATAATGAGTGCAGAAATAGCCATTGCTCTTTGTCCTGATGCTACAGGCTCAGCTGTGCAGCTGTGCTCTGCCTATGGTGCTGACAGATCTAGAACATCTTCAAGGCAGTCAGCCCAGCATTTTTAACAGCCTCTCTCTAACCACAGAAGTCTGGAGGCAAAGAAAGTCATTTCCTCTGAGTTCTGGGCCACCCTGTTCTTTGTTGAGTTTCACCCAGCAAGAATACTCTGGGAGGTTCTATCTGAATGACAAAACTAAACAACGTATCAAAAAGGGTGTGTTATATTGAATAGGCTGAGCTAGCAAGAAGGCTAAGTGAGCAAAGGTATTCATAGGCATGGAAAGCACCTGCAATTGATTGCCAAAGCCCACCTAAAATCTGTAAAGAGAGTCTCTCAAACTTGTCTTTTGATCCCCACAAGCACCATGACATGCACCTGACATGTCACACAAAAATAACAAAGGTTTCTATAAGTTTGACAGGTTGGCCTAGAATTCCTCCTGTAGCTCAGGCAGGCCTTGTGATGTGTTGGGATGTGTGTCCCTTGTCCACAGATCCAGAAGCGATCTTGTGTTTCTTTTCTTATGAATTTACATTTAATTTATGCGGGTGGGTATTTTCTTACAAGTGTATGTGTGTACCATATGCATGCAGTGCTCTGAAGAAGCTAGAAGAGGTCATCAGTACCTCTGAGACTGTAATAACAGTCGTTTTTGAGATACCATCTGGATTCAAGGAATTAGAATTTGGTCCACAGCCTGTGCTCTAAGCCTGATGAGCCATGTCTCCTGCCTCTTAATATTTTATTTTTATTTCCATGGGCAACTGGGGATTCAAACTGAAGCTACAACAGTTCATTGTAGGCTGGTTTGAAAACTTACTACTATCGGGCTGGAGCGATGACTCCATATTAAAAGCATTGGTTGTTCTTCAGAGGATTAAGGCTCAGTTCCCAACACCCACATGACGGCCATCAGCTGTCTGTAATTCCAGTCCCAGGGGATCCACCAGCCTCTTCTGACATCCAAGGGCACATCATAGACACAGAACACAGAGCTATATACAACCAAAGCACCCATATAAGTACAATAAAGCTGTAAAGAACCAAATTCCTCCTGCAACTCACTGCTCGATGTTCCCAGATATCAAAGAAACTGGTCTAGGAGCAGAGCAGGGCCGGGGAACCAAGCTAAGTTCTCACTTTACCTGCCAGGAGAAAGAGGTTTCTGAGTGGCTTACCTGCACAGTCCTCATGAAGAGATGACCTGTCCTGAGTTTTACAAGTCCAAAATATAGGGGCTGTAAGATAGCATACCTGATGGAGGTGCTTGGTGAGTCTCAGGACTGCAGAGTGGCATCTGTCAGATGAAGACCATGCAGGCAAGTCCTCTTGCTCCTGCCCCGAACCTATACAACACCACAGACGGAGGTTGGCCATGGGTGGTGGTTCTTGTACCTGATAGGAGATCCCAGTAGCCTACGTTTAAGTTTCATAGGCACAGGAGAGCTGTGTGGAGGACTCAAACGTAACATTCAGCACATTATCCCCTCGGGAAGTCACTGTCTATGTGTGTGGTGAATGGCCCCTTCTTGAGGTGTTTATTGTCTATGAGCACATGACATATATATGTACACACACGCACACAAACACACGGGTGCGTGCATGTATGTGTGTGTGTGTGTGTGTGTTTGGTTTTTAGAGACAGTGTTTCTTTCTGCATCCCTAGCTGTCCTGGAACTCAATATGTACAGTGTTTAATGATCTTTGCATGCCTAACTGAAGGAAGAGCGATAGTGCAGGACTGGCTTTTCAGTCCAGCCTCAAGTTCTACTGCAGCACCACTCTCTCCAGCTCTGGGAAAGTTCCTTCCTGGTGTGGAAGGCAGGGCTGGGAACCGCTGTGCCGAGTCACTTCCCAGCACTCTGTTCCTAAGAGAGCTGTTGCTGTCACTCAGGCCTCACCAGCCAATCAGGGTCTCCAAGAGGCCCGCCAGTCACAACTGGGAGGATACTTCCCGCCAAACTGCATGCTGGGCTGTGGGCTGGTGGTTATGTGTGCTGTGCTGTAACCTGCTGACAGGAGCTGTGAGGAGAGCTGAGCAGCTTGGAATCTGCACAATGGTGAGCAAAGGGACACCATCACTATGCAGGGAGGAAACTCTTGAGCACAAGTAGGGTTCATCCCGGGGGACAGTATGCTGATGGAAAACTGGCCAGAGTTGGCTTCCAGTGTGATTCCCTTTGGTGCCCTGAGGTCCCCGTCCTTCCCAGGCAGAGCTGTACCTCTGAGTGACTTAGTTCCACTGGCCATGTCTGTACAGAATGTGGGGAGCAGGAGCCCTTGTGTGAGAACATCTTTGTTGTTTATGCCACCATGTAGCATGAGAGCCTCAGCTCTGCAGGTACGGCACATTTGCTCTCTCACAGAGCTCCTTTCTTTTCTCTAATGTCCCTAGAAGTTCTGCTCTTTGAATTTAACATTCAGGTGTCAGATTCATCTGGAGTTAATTGTGTATGTGCTGTGAAGTCTGTGTTATTAAAACATTAGCATGTAGATTTTAGGGTGTTCCCTCACATGTGTTTGTAAGGTCACGTCTACTGGGTTTCTAAATTGACTTTATTTTAATCATTTCTTTTCACCGTTTGCTCAAATGGTCTGTCAACTTTGATTTTGGGTGTTTGTTTTTGTTTTTTTAAGGCATGATTTCTCTTTGTAGGCTAAGCTGTCCTGAAACTGACTGAGATCTGCCTGTCTCTAATTCCCCAGGGTGAGACTAAAAACCCAAGCCACCCGGCCTAGCAACAATACAGTCTGTGTTGCAGTTTTATGCCAAGTTTGAAGTCAAAGGATCTCACTGTGTATACTGTGTATTCAATTATGTATTGAATACTCTTCATTCATGATTACATTTTCTCATTAGTTTTCTGTTGTTGGTAGCATACACTGTTAGACATTTTATTGCACTTTTGCCGAATCTGTAGCTCAAATTCTGCATTGCTGTAATAAAGTGTTGTTTTAGTAGCTAAAGTGGCAGCAAAGCACATGTCTGCTTTCTACTCAAGGTTAGCTCAGCTCCCTGCTAAGTCCATCCCCCAGACACATGTCCCAGTGGGAGAAGATGCACTTAGTTCTGCTGTGACTTGAGGTGCTAGAGTGGGTTGGTTACCCTCAGGGGCCTCCCCTTCTTTGAGAAGGAGAGAGGGGAGTGTGGAGAAGCTGGGCATGAGGGTAGGACTGGAGGAGAGAAGGGAGAGGGCCAGGATTGGGCTGTAAAGTGATTAAATAAATAATTTTAAAAGGGCACAGCACCCCCATATGGCAGGATATTTTGATCCTATTGTGAACCCAAGTTTGTGAACTGTAAAAACCTGTTTCTAGTTGTGGACACACCTTTAATCCAATAATGTTCTGTTTATTGTAAACAGGTGGTTATGGTGTGGCCCTGCCCTAGCACACACCTTTAGTCCAAGATCTTTCTGTGCACAAGATTAAATTAAGTCACCCCAGGTCAAGAGGCTGAGCAAGAAACCAGATGACAGGGATTAAACAGAAAGGAGGAGACATTGAGAGAGAGGTATCTAATTAACAAAGTGTGGGGGAAAGGGGGCTTTTAGCTTTTGCTTTTTGAGCATAAGTCCTTTTGGCTTTTACCATCTGCAACATGAGCTGAGTAAGAAGAGCTTTTTTCTCTGGGATGTGAGCTGAGAAAGAAGGTCAGTTTGTGTGCTGTCTCTGCCTCTTTGAGGTAATAGGCTTTCACCACAGCATCTGGATCCTGTGTCTTTATTGGTAAAAATTGAATGATTTCGATTTTTTTTTCAAAACCAACTTAACAACTTTCAGAAATAATTAGGACATATCAACTAGCTATGTCCTCTTTTAAGAATACCTAATTATGCAGTAACCAATCTATCGAAAACTCCAGAAAGGAAGACAACATTGGACAATTATTGCATATTATCTTTTTTTATTTTTATCTTTTTATTTTTGCATATTATCTTGAGAGGCAAGAAAAGAACAGGTATTTCTGAATCTAAACTGAGAAGCATTATTATATCATGTGGTTCCAGTGCTATTAAATTCACTCATTTTCTCTATTAATTGTCAGAAGAACAAGGTAAATGTTTCGCATGGATTTATTTACACTATAAGGTCATAAAATACTAGTTGCTTAAGTTACTCTTCCTGCTCAGTTATTAAATCAGAAGAGAGCCAAAGTCAATGATTATATGGACTTGATTATTCCTGTATTAATTACCTCTTACTACCAGTCAGATTTAAGAGCATTATAGAACTTTATGGACTTCCAGATTTCATTTGTAGATTATTATGAAAGGATAGGAAGTCAATATTCAGCTGACAAGGTATGAGATTTTCTAATATAAACTGAATTTATGGTTACAAAACTGTTCCAACCTTCTCCAATTCCATAGGCAAATAATTGTTTTCTTGCCATTTCTTCTAAGGGTATAGGAAGGATTCGTGGTCTAGATATTCATTAATCCTGCTTCCTTGGCTCAACAGGTGGAACTGACTGTTTTGATTCAGAAAATCTTATATATTATTTCAGATTTTGCTTATGTTCTATGATTATTTTAAGCAATAGGAACTGCTTCATTTTTATTTTAAGCTTCTGCTCTGCTCCCATCACTACAATAACTGAAAGTACTTAAATCCCTCACACATACTTTTTTTTAATTACTTGTACTCATGCACACTGGGTTTTATTTCAGTAGAAAATAAGCAAGCTGATCCATGACCCTACCCCATTTTTACTTCTCCATAACAGGAAAATCAGCACCCACACACTAATGCTAATCAGCTTCTGTACAATGCCACATCCCTCTTAGACACAGGAGACAAACTGTGCGCGAATGTGCTGCTTACACTGTTACACTACCGTAGTCATACAGCTGGAGTTAGCCCGAGAGGTAAAATTACTATTGAATTATGACAAATGGAAGTCACTCACTTTGCTCTTGTTCCTCAGATACCATAATTGTGTGTCTGCGTTGACACACAGTCAAAAAATTTTTAACCTGTATCTCAGTCCTCAGAGCATGCTTCTGCAGTGTTTCTCTTATACAAAATTTCAC